TATCATGCATCTTGGGGAGGTTCTTTTCCCTGGAGTAACCTCTTATTAATTCCTGGGCTAACATGACATTATCTGACACCGGATCTGCCTCCGACAAACGCCCCTTGGGCCTGGTCCACAATCTCGGGTAACACACTGGACATGCGAGCTGCTATCACCTTGGTTATTATTTTATAAAAAACGTTGCAGCAGGCTATCGGCCGAAAGTCCTCTACTCTCAAATCATGAGACTTCTTGGGAATCAAGGCAATGCACGTGTGGTTCCATTGCTTCAATAACTGGCCATTTCTGAAGAATTCCATTACCGCCGAGATCACTAACGAACCAATACGGTTCCAGTTTGCTTTAAAGAAAGCTGCAGTGTATCCATCTGGTCCCGGGGCCTTATCATTTCCCATTGAAAAGAGAGCATTTTTAATTTCTTCTTTGGAGATCGGGGCTATCAAGTTCGCAGCCTGTTCATGAGATACATTAGTGCCACGACTGAAATACATGCTATTTGTTCTACTTCTGTCCCTCGAGGTGCCAAACAGCTCAGTGTAGAACTTCACAAAAAGATTACCCACTTGGTTCAGGGAAGTTGTGAGATTCCCTTCCTGGTCAAGAATGGCCGAGATAGTCGATGAGGCATTCCTTTTATTAATAAGGCTATGAAAATAACGGGACCCTTTATCTGCCTCTACCAAGTGTACGGTGTTTAATTTTTGTGCAAAGAAACGTCTCTCGGCTTCCATTAGGAACAAAGCCTTCTTTCGTAGTTCCTTTACCATGTTCCTTTCATCTTCGTTGGCATTCAGGACATCCAACGCATCTTGGGCAGCCTCGTAAACTTCTTTTGCTTCACGAGTCCTTTCAGATATGTGGCTAAAGTCGTTCCGGTTTAACGAGCGAAGGGGGCCTTTTAGAGCTTTCAATTTTTTTGGCGAGGATATACTGCTTCGATCCTATTATCTGTTCCCTCCACACATCCTCAACAATATCCTTAAATTTAGGATGCGAAAGCCACATATTCATGAACTTAAAAGGTCTCTTTTCCCCCACTGGTACGGCTGATGTGGAAATAATGACGGGGCAGTGATCAGAATTGCATGCGAGGAGTTTAAAATCTGGCCATGCACGTGAGGCCTTGACTATTCCATCTATCATTGACCAATACACGATCAAGCTTTGCCTCCATGAACCTATTCCTCCACGTAAAGAACTTTCCCGTAGACATGCAGTCGGATAAATCACACTTCGCACAACAATTCTCTAGGTCTTGTATCTCATACCTCGATGGAACATTACCTCCTCTTCTCTCCGATGGTGACAACACCGTGTTGAAATCCCCAGAGATTAGCCAAGGTACACAGATAGTCAGACTTAGGCCTTCGATCCTCTCCCAAAGGGGTCTTCTCGAGACAACAGAAAAAAGGCCATAAACAAAGGTGCAGTAGAAAGACTTTTGAGACACTTTGCAACGGATAGAGCAGTGGATGTGTTGTGGACCAGTTTCAACAATCTCACAATCTGCAAGGTTTGGATTCCATGTTACTAGAATTCTCCCACCCTCATGATCATGAAAATTGGATGAGAATTTCCATCCATTCTTACGGTTTTTTGACAAACAACTCAGCCTTCTCAAGCGACATTTTGGTCTCTATTAACGCACAAACAGATAACTTATGTTTCCATATGAAGTCCCAGACTTCTTTCTGTTTGAGGGGTTGATTCAAACCCCTCACATTCCATGATCCTAGAATCATTGAGCACCTAAGGTGGGTACTCGCCGACCACCGCCGCCAGCCACTTTATTTAACCCAAGTGGCAGGGTAATCCGAGGTGCTTTTCTCTTCATTTTAGATTGTGGGGACTTCCTTCTTGCCCCAGCCACGACCCGAGAGGGTTCTTTTGTTGGGGTGATCACGAGATCATCCTCAGTCTCATCTTGTGGCACAGGTTCATCATTAGGTTCGAGAGCAGGAGGAGATTTCTGGGCACTTTCAGCAGCCTTCTTAGCCTTACGTGCCTTCTTTTTTTCAGACCTTGCTATTGCAAGAGCAAGTTCAACAATTTCAGTTCCGGTCTCAATAGAGGGTTCAACTGCAGCTTCAGCCGAGACCACAATTTCCTTCCCAGTACTTTCTCGATGTGTTCTCTCTTGGTCAACAAATACAGCCCGGTCAACTGTGTCATGATCATGCATCTCTGTTACATTCTCGTGAACAATTGTATTAGCTTCAACATTCACATTGTCGGCAGCCCCACTTTCAAGAGTAGGGGGAGATTTCTGGGCGTTTTCAGCAGCCTTCTTAGCCTTACGTGCCGTCTTTTTTCCAGACCTTGCTATTGCAAGAGCAAGTTCAACAATTTCAGTTCCGGTCTCAAAAGATGTCCTCTCTTGATGTTCAGGAACAGTTTTGTCCACATGGGAGCAGCTCCCAACCTCAAGAGGAGTTGGGGTATTGGCTATCACAATCTGTTGGGTTCCAAAGGGTTCAACTGCAGCTTCAGCCGAGAC